AGTTAAATCATTTTAGAATGTTCCTTGTTCTATTAAATTTTTTAAGGCCCATTATAAAACAGATACAGAAGGGGAAATATATAAAGGTGTGCACACACAGGAGAGCTCCACATAGAGAACAGCACTTGTTTGGGGAGTAGGTGAACTGCACTACTTTTTGCATGATAATTTTTGTATAAAATAACATCCGTTTATTTAATCCTTTCAACACTGAAAATGTAAAGATTATAATTCTGACCTGTCCCCTCTCAAAGCTGCCACACACAACTGGGCTCTGAGTCATTTGAGATAGCATCTTGCTCTTTAACCCAGGCCCTGATCACACGTGTATGTATCTCACTACACCTAGTGTTTAGTTTTTGGTAAATAGCCTTTGAAGTCTTCTAAAAAGCATTATTTTGTACGGGACTTTCATATGAAAATGACTAGTTTTGGAGCATGTCACACAGATTGTAGAAGAGCTTGGTGGTGGAACCACACTAGAGAACCAGCTCACTATACACTTAATCTCAACTGCCTGCACTTATTCTCATTATTTTGAGGCTTAAAAAAATTCCATGGCCAGGGCTGGGAAGTTGGCTCAGTGGTAGAGCGCTTGCCTTGCATGCCTGAGGCTCTGGGTTCGATTCCTCAGCACCACATAAGCAAAAAGAAAAAAGCCAGTGGCGCTGTGGCTCAAGTGGTAGAGCGCTAGCCTTGAGCTGAAGAGCTGAGGGACAGCGCCCAGGCCCAGAGTTCAGGCCCCACGACCGGACCCAAAAAAAAAAAAAAAAATTCCATGGCCAGGTTGGCTTAAGTCGTAGAACACAAGCCTTGAGCAAAAAAAGCACAGGGACAGTATGCATGCTCTGAGCTCAAGCCTCAAGACCAACATACACACAATTCCACTGCCACTGAGTATTAGTCATGTCTGAGGCCCAATTACAGTATTTTCTTGCTAGGTTCCTATGACACAAACTTTTGTTTTTAAATATTAAAGAGCGCTTGTGTAACATTAAAATTCGGGTGCATTTTTTCCAGTCCTGGGGCTTGAACTCTGAGCCTGGGCTCTGTCCCTGAGCTTCTTTTGCCCAAGGCTAGTGCTCTAGCACTTGAGTCACAGTGCCACTTCCAGCTTTTTCTAAGTAATTTATTGGAGATAACAGTGTCACATACTTTCCTGCCTGGTCTGGCTTCAGACAGTGCTAATCTCATCCTCCTGAGTAGCTAAGATTACAGATAAAGTCACTGGCGCCCAACTGTTCAGGTACATTTTTACTACATTTGTCCATGTCCTTAATATTCTAGCCCCATTCTCTACAACTATCAAGTAAATGAAAGTGATTTGTTCTGCTATGAATGTATACAGAATACTAAGTTACTAGCTTTGTGTGATTCAAAGAAGGGGAAGCAAGGCACAATGTCCCAGCTCCTATTCACAAGACACTAGTTGTTTCATGTGAACAAGTATCTTAGCTTGTGCACTTGTGACTGAGAGGCAAGAAATAGCTCATGATTTCTAACTATACTATTCAATCACCTAAATGGCTCTATTTCTTATCAAAGCAATAGAAAACAAAATCCAAAAAACCGAAGAAAAACGACAGCAGCTGAAGGAAGAGATTGAAGTTCTACAAGACTTACAGCATAACTTGTGCTCTTTTCAAGAAAACAGAGACCTCAGGTCAAGTTCTACTTCAGTATCATCCCTGTGTCCCTAAGGATCATCTGTGCACAACTAAGAGGTGACACTACCAGCAGACCAAGTACTGGAAATTCGCCTGTGAAAGCCACAGAGCTCTAAGACTGAGCCCTAATTCTTATGAGCCTAAAACTGTGATTCCCCAGTGTGTCCCTTTATCCATTCTTGCTGATTGACATTACATGTCTGACTGAATGTCATGTCACTTCTACCTCTTCGCCAATGACACCCTTTATATTTAAAATTCTGTGTGGCTTCCTGCTGGTGCTCCTACACCCCCACAATTCTTTTTTTTTTGGGGGGGGTCCAGTCGTGGGGCCTGAACTCTGGGCCTGGGCACTGTCCCTCAGCTCTTCAGCTCAAGGCTAGCACTCTACCACTTGAACCACAGCGCCACTTACGGCTTTTTTTTTCTGCTTATGTGGTGCTGAGGAATGGAACACAGGGCCTCATGCATGCAAGGCAAGCGCTCTACCACTGAGCCACCTTCCCAGCGTGCCCTTCCCCCCAATATTGTCTTATAAGGTCCTTTTTTTTTGGGGGGGAGGGTCCAGTCGTGGGGCCTGAACTCTGAGCCTGGGTGCTATCCCTCAGTTCTTCAGCTCAAGGATAGCACTCTACCACTTGAGCCACAGCGCCACTTCCGGCCTTTTTCTTTTTGCTTATGTGGTGCTGAGGAATCAAACCCAGGGTCTCATGCATGCAAGACAAATGCTCTGCCACTGAGCCACCTTCCCAGCCCCTAACTATTCTTTCTTTGTCCTCTGCCTGTTCTTGTTGCAGGCAGGCTCCATAATAAGGGTTTCCTGCTGTTTCCATAATGACTACTTTCCTTGAGGCAGAGATCAGGAGGCTTGGCACTCAAGGCCCAGAAAAAAGTTTGCCAGATCCATTTCAATCAATAGCAAGCTGAATGTGATGTAAATGGGATCAAGGTCCAAACCAGCCTGGGCAAAAGTGTAAGGACCTATTAAAAATTAAGGCATAAGGGCTGGGAGTGTGTGGCTCAAATAACAAAGCACTTGCCTAGCAAGCCCTTGAGTTCAAACTCCATTATGACCAGGGGAAAAAAAAATCACTTCCCAGTGTAACTGGCTGTATTTTTCTCATCACATCATTATTCATGTGTTTTGCTCACTATGATCCATTTTTTTCTATCAGTCCTTTTTAGCTTAGTAAGAAAAACATCAGTGGGAATATTCAAGAGAGGCTAAAGTCCTCAACCTAACAGGACAATTCAGAATACTTTGCCCACACCACCACCAACCTGTCAACTTCACATTCACATCTCTTTTACCACAGTCCTCTGGTTCACACACTACATGTCACAGTAGTTTGAGCTAAGTTACAGCATGGTGTCTGGTCTGATGTGTAATATCTGTTGGAGATGGGGGAAAAATTTCTGGTATAATGGCAACCCAATCATTACTCAAAGTACAAAAATAGCTGTGATTTTCAGATTTTACATGAATAATCCCTGTTATTTACAGTAGGTAATTTATCATTTATTACCTTTATTTGTGAAAAGTACCAATTTGTGTGTATAATACCTCTTAATTAGTATTAATCATCATGCCCCCCCCTCCCCTTACCCATAACTTACATGTTTCAGGATAAGGGCTGTATTTTCTGTTACAAGTATCCCTAAGGATTTTTCTGCTGTATTAGTTCAACTGTACTATCTTTTAAGAGAAATAAAAAAGGATTGCTACAATGCTTGTATTTAAGCTGAGAATCAAGAAGCTGACATGTCCAGTGATACCTATTTGTAGCCTGATAACATCAGGGTAAATTATGGTAAAATATATCTAACATAAAACTACCATCTTAATTTTTAAATGTACAATTCAGTGGCATTACATACAAACCATATTTTCATCTTGTAGAGCGCACTAAACAGTTCTATTCCCTCCCCCACACCCTTCTTTCACCATAAATTCAACCACTCAAGGCAAGTACTACGTGTAAGTACAAACACACAGTATTTTCTTTTTCATGACTCACACTTCATTAGTGTAATGTCCAAGTGAATCCAGGTCATACCATATACCAAAATTTCCTTTTTAAGGCAGCATACATCTAAAGGGGAAACAACAACTCTATATGCCTGCCTTAAGATTACTTTATTAATGGTACTATAAATATAACAAATACAGCCTACATAATAGAGTATCAAACATTGTTCCAGTAAGAAGTTCAAGAGTACATTTAGGGCTACCTTAAGAAATATAAGGACTTCGGCTTCCACTATTAACATCAGATGAAAAAAAAAAATCACTACAGTTTTCAATTCCTGCTATGATTAAACGAAACCATTTAGAAAAATAACATTATATTAAAAAAAATAGTCAAGTATTTTTGAAGGACTTGTCTCTTCTACCATACATACTCATACAAATTAGTAATCTGAGAAGTGGTTCTTCATGTGTATTAGGAATTCAGTAAATATTTGTTGAACAAATGAACTATATGGATATGATCTACTTTAATTTGTGCTTTTTTTTAAAAGTTCTTTTTAATTAAGAACAGTAAGTAAACATCCTGAAGTTCTCACTTTGTTCAAGACCATAAGCCTACGGTAATTATAAGGACTACACATAGCAAACCAAATTAATATGCATTTGTCATCCTAGTAAGAAAAGCTATCATAATGCAGCACTAATTTACAATTAATTATTGGGCTTCAGTCATTTGTGATATGATCAAGAAAAGGGGGCTAGAACCTTGAGGTTTATATCTCAACTATCAAGTATTATCTTGGAGGCTTATGCACCACCCCACCCCGACAGACATTTAAAACCCTAATAAAAAACAGTAGCTGTAGCATATTTTCTCCCTCTTGTTTCTGTGGTTCTAAAAACAACATCACATTTCATAATCAGATCCCTGTTCTCCCACCAAAAAAAAGCAAAAACAAAACAACTCTTAAAGTGGGACCTTTTCATGAAAAACCATGATTTTGGAACCCCTTTTAAAGGTTAAACAGCTAAATAGTGTACCTAACACAAAAGGAAAAACCCATGGTGGAAGGTAATAAAGTTTCAAACAAACAAATCTGTGACAGTTTAGCCTAGATAAAATAGGTATGTCCATTAAGCACTATAACAAAGTGCCTTTAAGAACCACTTCTAAACCAGGTGCTGGTGGCTTAACACCTGTAATTCTAACTGCTCAGCAGGCAAAGATCTAAGAAAAGTCCATGAGACTTATCTCCAACTAACCACACACAAAAAAACTGCAAGTAGTGCTGTGGCTCGAGTGGTAGAGCACTAACATTGAGCAAAAAAGCTCAGGGATAGAGCCCAGACCCTATGTTCAAGCCCCAGGACCAGCACCAAAAGAAAAAAAAAACCGCTTCTACACGATAATGTAAATCTCACAGCTTAGCAGCCATAAGAGGAAGATGAGAGCCACTTGATTTTGTATGGTAAAGGTGATAGGGGGTAGTTTAAGTTCTCCCAATTTAACCTTAATGAAATAAAGGTGGGTAAGTGATACTCACCTTTATCCACACAAAATGCTATTATCAACTTATCATGGATAGTTCTAAGTTAGTACTCTTCTAGTGTGATTAATTTTATTGTGATTTAAGTTCTAGCTAACCTAGAAATTTACCTTTAATTATTTCAATTGGCCTAACTCATTAAACAGATATTCCCTTTGACATTTGTTGATTTTCCTTTTATTTAAGTCATCAATAGTGAAAGCATATAAAAAAAAATCCCTCACACAAGTTAGACTCTTTTCTCACAGAAAGGTACTGACTGGAAACTAAGGCAGCGCTTGGTCAAGCAGAGAGTGGCTTCCTTAACTCAGCATGGAGCATCACTGCTCATGTCACCAGTCACTAACACAACTCCTGACATCAAAGGCCCTGTGCTACCTGACCTTCCTCAGGTAAGCCTTTTTCCAATTTCAGAAGTTCTTCTCATCAAAAAGGAAAAAAGAAGCTAAACGTATGCCATTCATAAAGTTCCAGCCCATATGCAAGAAAGGTCATATTTAAAAACACACCCATTTGTTTAACATGGACCCAGGAGAACCAAATATCCTTCATATGGAGAACAGTGTCTCAAATGTGGAAAAAACCACCTGGTGGGTTTTACCTGCAGAATCTCATCACCTGTAGAGCACAAGCTGGACATATCACCCACAGTGCCCCAGAGCACTCACACAGCCCAGCAGCCTCGGGCTTCAGTTCTTAAAGGCTCCACATTTACTGGCTTTAGCAATGAACTCCTTTAGCAGGGGGCCATCCATGTGCCAAAATGCTGCAGTTTGAGTGACTTCTGTCAAATGATTGATGCAAAACTTAAAGCAGAATTCTTCTAAATCCTAGACATATACAACAAAAATAAAAAAAAGAGGCTTGTGTTTATTAACTTTGATTGAATTACTTCTCTCCAAACCCCTCATCCCAACCTTCTCACCCTCCCAGAAAAAGTCTGTGAAGTCATACAATTCAAACAGGGCAAGCAAGAGGCCACAGTTGTGTGTCAACAAAACACTCACTACTTAATAGCACAATAAATGCCAGGGTTACCCTAATCAATTTAAATTCTTACACACACACACACACACACACAGATGGGCTCATGGTCACCACTTTGTTTTATAGAGTCCAATGCTGATGTAATCCATATCAGTTATAATTTTTTAATTGAAATTTGTGAGTTTAAGGAAGAGGGCTTTAAGAAACAGAAAACAAACCAGGCATTGGTGGCTCATGCCTGCAATCTGAGCAATCATGAGGCTGAGATCTGAGGATTGCAGTTCAAATCCAGCCCAAGAAGGGAAAGTCTGTGTGATACTATTATTTCTAATTCAGTATTAAACAGCTAGAAATGGCACTGTGGATCAAAGTAGCAGAGCACAAGCCTCAAGCACAAAAGCTCAGGGACAATGCCCAGGCCCCAAGTACAAGCCCCAGGACAGCACAAAAAGGAAAAAAAAAAAAAAAAAGGAACAGGAAACACATGAAGATTTAGGCTCCTCATGAAGATTTAGGTTCCTCAAACTATTTTCATGCGCCCCTAGTTAAAAAAGACTTCACTTCTAAATCCCCAAAGAACATAGTATAACTGCCAGCACACCAAATTCTCAGTCAACCCTAGAGAAGTACACACAAATGGATTTTTCATTCAGCCAATAGTCATAACTACCAACATTGAGACAGAAAGTTAGTATGTTCCAGTGGTAAACCAGAACTATTTAAAAATCAATTTCTGCTAATCCCTTTCACCCTCTTAAAAATCCTAACATTTGTACCTGCAAAAGTTGGAATAAGCTGGTGGCTCAAGCCCATAATCCTAGCTATTGATAAGACAGATCTAAGGATTGCAGTTCAAAGCCAGCCTGGGCAAGAAAGTTACTGAGACACTTACCTCTAAATACCAGAAAATTGGAAGTAGAACTGTGGCTCAGAGTGGTAGAGTGCTAGCCTGTAGCAAAAACAAAGCTCAGGGACAGTGCCTAGACCCTGAAAGCAAGCCCCAAGATGGACCAAAAAAAAAAAAGTGGAACAACATACATTCAAGCAATTCATTTGCACCTGAATAACACATGAAGGCTAATGTGTAAGGGCAAACCACAATAAAAGCTCTCAATAGAAATGGCTCAGGGTTTTTTTGTTTTTTTTGTTTTTTGTAACTTGGCCAGTGATAACATTGTATACTGAAGGAAGTGGTGCTATATCTCAAGTGGTAGAGCGCTAGCCTTGAGCTGAAGAGCTGAGGGACAGCACTCAGGCCCAGAGTTCAAGCCCCATGACCAACAACTCCAACTACCAAGGTGGGAATTTTACACAAAAAACAGGGAAGGTCTCATGCAGATGCAGGGATGATCCCATTAACAATCATTTCCTCATTGCCAAGTTTTTTTGACCCTGTAATATTAAGAGAAAATCCAAAGCTAACAGGTATCAGCCAACTGCTGCTAGAGTTATTTTCTAGTCCATTCAAAGTGCACTTAAAATATTAATACAACTAGGTGCAGGTAGCTCCCGCCTGTAATCCTAGCAACTTAGGAGGTTGAGATCTGATGATCACGGGTCACAACCAAGAACGGGTCACAGTCTCAAGAACATCCTTGAGACTCTTATTTCCAATTTGCCACCATAAAGACAGAAGTGTAGCTGTGGCTCAAGTGGTAAAGTGCTAGCATGAGCAAAAAAGCTAAGGGGTAGTTTACAGGGCTGAGTTCAAGCCACAGGATCATCTCAAAAGAAAAGTTAATATTATCTCAGGATCCATGTTTCTTAATCAGATTCTCAGTGGTCTAAATGTAGAGCTGAACGCTGAAAACACTCTGTGTTATGCTAAAATGTAAAACTACATAAAACATTACCTTTAAGATAGTTATTCAAGAAATAGCACTGCTCTTGATATAACAACTCAAGATTAACAGTTCTCAAAACTAAATTATTTTCTACAGGGAAATAAAGATCACATTTTAATCTCAGTGCACTCAGAAAATAGGAAAGTAGGGTATTTGCTTATAACTTTGGGAAAAAAGGCCAGTTAGGATCATAAAAAGTTCTTCAAACCATGTAACAGATAAGCATCTTCAAATATTATCTTTTAATTTACTTAATTTTAAATTCACAGGAAGGATATAATAGCCTATATCATAAGTTGAAATTCTAATCTTTTTAGGGTAAAATAAAAAATGAGCTTATTCATTTTATTAACTGTGTGGAAGTTACCTTAAGCATAAACTTTAAGAACTTTTTTACCCAGTACAGGCATACAAACGGCACGTCTAATTACAAATCACTTCATGCAACTATTAAAATAGTTGTATCAAACTACCTGCCCTTCCACTCCAATTATTCTGAACTGAAGATATTCTTAATTTTCAATAAATGCTTAACACTTTCAAACACTGAAATTGAACTGCAGAGGAAACAATCTAAAATCTGGTCTAAGCGAGCCTTGGTTATAGCACACCTAAGTGAAAAAAGCACTGTGGAGACAGATTAGATTTTGAGAGTGCATTCCCTGACAGCAGCATAGTAAAGCACTATTCTGAGACCACTCTCATGTTCCCAAAACCTACAGGACCTGTGCTCTCACCATAAAAATATTCAGAGCTCCAATTACTTAGACAAGAAAACGCAATACTTGTCAAGCCAATAAATCAACTATAAAAGAATTTCAAGATGGCCTCATTTGACCAGTGGATTTTTTTTTGGGGGGGAGAGGGGGGCCAGTCTTGGGGCTTGAACTCAGGGCCTGGGTGCTGTCCCTGAGCTTCTTTTGCTCAAGGCAAGCACTCTATCACTTGAGCCACAGCTCCACTTTCAGGGTTTTTTAGTTTATTGGATATAAGAGACTCACAAAGTTTTCTGCTGGGGCTGGCCTTGAACCACAATCCTCAGATCTCAGCCTCCAGAGCAGATAGGGTTACAAGTGTGAGCCACCAGTGCCTGGCTGACCAGGTTTTTAAAAATTCAAAAGAGGGCTGGGAAGGTGGCTCAGTGGTAGAGCGCTTGCCTTGCATGCCTGAGGCCCTGGGTTCGATTCCTCACCACCACATAAGCAAAAAGAAAAAAAGCCAGAAGTGGCGCTGTGGCTCAAGTGGTAGAGCGCTAGCCTTGAGTTGAAGAGCTGAGGGACAGCGCCCAGGCCCAGAGTTCAGGCCCCACGACTGGACCAAAAAAAAAAAAAAAAATCAAACTGGGGACCAGTGGCTCACACCTGTAATCCTAGTTACTCACAAGGCTGAGATCTGAGGATCATGATTTGAAGCCAGCCCAGGCTGGAAAGCCCATGAAACTCATCTCTGATAAATCATAGAAAAAGCCGGTTGCTATTGCTCAAATGATACAGTGTTAACGTTGAGCAAAAAGGAACACAAGTACAGCATTCAGACCCAAAATTCAAGCCTCAGAACCAGCACCAAAAAAAAAAAAAGTTCAAAGTAGAATGCAAGCAAGTCAGACAAATAGCAGACTAGAGACACCAGCACTTCTACCTCAGGTTGGTGGCTACAAGGAGAGGTGGATGTCTCAGGCAGGACAAAGCACCACTGAAAAGTAGCTAGAGACCAAGGAAAACAATGAGTAGTTGATTTTGTTATTGCTGCCTATTTTCTCTCCTCTAAGTAATAATGAAAGACATATTCCAACATACATGCAAAACACAAGGCAGGAACACAATTATGAAAAAATAAAGCAATATGACTCCTCAAAAAACTTAACTCCTCAGTAACTGAACCCAATGACAGAAATAGGTGAAATGCCAGGTAAACAATATGAAAAAAAAATCTTTAACACACAATTCAACTCTTGGATGAGAAACTTAACAACATGGACGGAAATTGAGTAAGGAAATTGTTTTAAAAAAACAAAACCAGCAGACCAGGCTTACTCCTATAATCCCAGTTACTCAGAACACAGAAATCAGGCGGATTACAATTTGAAGAACAACTTGAATAAAAAGTTACCATCATCACAACTTCTAGGAATTCTGGCCATCATCAAGAGGGCAAACCTAAGAACCCATGGGGATGCAAGAAGGATCTGCAATATAAACAGAGGCATAGAAAACCTTAATTCAATTTAAAACCTTATTCAACAAATAAGGTAGATACTGCTGGTGTATGCCTGTCATCCCAACTCCACAGGAGCTGACATAGGATGATTGTGGCCAATCAACAAAACCCATAATCATATTTACCATTTGAATCCTGAAGAAGCTAGAACACAGCTCAATATAATATCTGACAAACCTATCACTAACATGGCAATCAATGGGGGAAAACTAAAGCATTTTCTCTAAAATGAAGAACAAGCCAAAGGTACTCAGTCACCATTCTTCTTCCATATAGTGCTTAACTGCTTAGCCAGAGAGTAGGCAAAAGAAAGAACTAAAAGGGACACAAATGGCAGGGAGGGAGGGGGAATCCAATTATCCTTGTTTATAGATAATATAATCGTATTCTTAAGAGATCCCAAAGATCCCACCAAAAATACCTAGGAATAAATCTAACCAAGGAAGTGAAAAGACATCTACAACGAAAACTGAAATACTGAAAAAATTGAAGGTAACACTAGAAGATGGATAGCTCTCCCATGTACATGGATCAGAATACTATGAAAATGTTTATTCAATCCAAGTCATACCAAAATTCCAACGGCATTCACAGAAATAGAAAAATCGATCCTGAAATCACATAAAAGCACAAAAGACTTGGAATTGCTAAAGCAATCCTGACCAAAAAGAACAATGCTTGACCTATTATAATACCTTATTACAAATTATACTATAGATAAACCGTAATAAAAGCAATAGGATGCTGGCACAAAAACACTAAGATCAATGGAAAAGATTACCTAAAAATAAGCTGAACCAGTTTCAGCATCTAAGTTTTGCCAAAGAGGGCCAAAAATTGTTGGAAAACGGACTCTTCAAAATGGTTTTGGAAAAACTAGATAGCCATACGTAGAAACCAAAACCAAACAACTATCTTTTACTCTGTATAAAAATCAATCTAAATGGCTCAAAGACCATAGTCTAAGACCTGAAACTTTGAAACTACTACAAGAAAACATAATAGAAATATTTGAAGACACAAGAATAGGAAATGGCTTTCTGAAAAGATTTCAATGTCTCAGAAAATAAGAGCAAAAGCTGACAACTGGACTGCATTAGATTTAAAAAGCTTCTACACATCAAAGGAAACAAGGAGTAAAAAGACCACCTATGGAAGGACTGAACGAAGGACCAGCATCCAAAATATGTAACTGAGTTCCAAAAATTAAACATCAAAAGAACAAGTCTAATTAATAAGTGGGCAAATAAACTAAACAGATATCTCTCAGAAGAATAGCCAATAAGAAATGTTCGACATCCTGAGCAAATGACACTGAGATTCCAGCTCATCCCAGTCACAACGGCAGTCATCAAACCAAAAAAAAATGCTAGCCAGTCACCAGTTGTCATGCCTATAATTCTAGCTACTGTAATTCTAGCTAAAGTTCAGAAGATCATGGTTTGAAGTCACCCTGGGCAGAAAAGTCCAAAACAACCAGCAAAAGCTAGGCAGGCTAGAGTCATGACTCAAGTGGAAGAGTGCCAGCCAAAAACAAGCAAACTGAGCATGCATGTAGGTCCTTAGTTCAAACCTTGGTTAGGGAAGAAGAGAGCTGGTGAGAAGCAGAGGAAAAAGGAATTCTTACAGTCTGTTGATGGGAATGTAAATCAGTGCAGCCACTATGGAAATCAGTGTAGTTTCCTCAAAAAGCCAAAAATAGAACTACACACATCCTGGGCATACAATTTAAGGAATCCAAGTTAGCATAAGATACCTGCACACTCATGTTTATTGTGGCATTTTCTTTCCACAGTTTTCTTTAGTAATAAAACACTGAAGATTGATAGTGTTAATATTCTCATATTGAAATTTTAGTGCAGCCTTTAGTGAAGTTCTAATCCAATTCTAAAAAGAAATGGGCACATGTTAACACTTCTTTGGAAGCCCACTGGGCTAGATCTGATGGGTTGTCATCTTGGTTAGAGCCACCCGAGATACATTCCAGATGGCACAAGATCTCCAAATACATCTACCTCCATCCAAACTTGCTATTATAAAACCCAAACCACAAGCCTATAGTTTATTGTATCACATACACAACAGTTCAATGAAGTTTTGACTTTTTCAAGATATATATGTGTGACTAGGAATGTGGCTTAATGGTGGAGTGCTTGCCTAGCATGCATGAAGCCCTGGATTCGATTCCTCGTTACCACATATACAGAAAAAAACCAGAAGTGGCACTGTGGCTCAAGTGGTAGAGTGCTATCCTTGAGTAAAAGCAGCTCAGGGACAGTGTCCAGGCCTCTGAGTTCAAGTCCCAGGACTCACAAAAAAGAAAAAGATACAAAAAAAGAAAAAAGGTGCTTCCTCCTTTACTACATGCAATTTTTATCATCAGAGGAAACATTTAACTTGGACCACTAATAAGTGAGAAAATGCTTTCATCTGGCTTCAGTTCTAAGTTTCCTGACACTTAGAGCTAAACCAATCTTAGAATTAGATTCCTGGGCTCATATTTATTGCTCTACCAAAAACAAAATCATACTGTATGCCAGTGGCTTACCTCTGTAATCCTAGCTACTCAGGAGACTGAGATCTGAGGATCATGGTTCAAAGCCAGCCAGGGCAGAAAAGTCTATAGGAATCTTATCTCCAATGAACCACCAGAAAACTGGAATTGGCACTGTGGCTCAAGATGATAGAGAGTAGCCTTGAGCAAAAAGAGTTCAGGGATAGCATCCAAGCCCTGATTTTAAGTCCCATGACCAATAAAAAATAAAACAAAAACAAAAAGCATGGACTATAAAATGCTCAGCAAGTTCAGATTTTCTGAAAAGCTCTCTACTTGGTGAAACAGTAATGCCCAACTGTTTCTCTTAATACTCAAATATATAGAGAAAACAAAATGTCAGGAGCATTCAGCCAAGCATGGTAGAATGTGTCTGTGATCTTGGTATTCAGGAGGTCGATGAAGGAGGACCACAAGTTTAAGGCCAATTTAAGCTACATATTCAGAGCTTGCTGGGAGAAAGGAAACAGAGGGGTAGGAGAAGGAGGGATGGAGGGGGTGAAGGCAGGGAGAGAAGTGAAAAAGACATGGAGGAAGAAGGAAGGAAGGGAAAGATGAAGAAAACAACCCAGGGCAGGTCGGAGGGAACGGAGGTACAACATGGAAACATCTCACCATTTTGCAATTTGATACTGAGCTGTTTATCTTCAGACAGTATTTCAATTTCACGGTCTCCCTTGAGGTACTATTTACTTAGTGTGCATTAGAAGACTATTCCTGTGGTCTTCCTTCAGATCTTTCTTAATAAGACTTGGAGAAAGCTTGATGATGTATTCACAATGCAAGGCTTCACAGCAACCACGTTGCTTTTGTATTTTGTACATCCTCATAATTACATCTATACATGTTGGGGTACATTTGCTTCAAAATTTCTTGTTAAAAGAGGGCTTGGAAGAATCACAATTTTTACGGAGAAGAAATGTGAGAAAGAGACAGTCCCAATCTTCTTCACACTGTGACCCACAGGCAAAGAAAGTCATCTAACTTTCCTGCCCAGACTGGCTTTGAACCATGATCCTCAGATCTCAGCCTCCTGAGTAGCTAGGATTACAGGTGTGAGCCACCAGTGAGTGCCCAGCTGTCTTAGATATTTTTAAAAGCACCTTTTCATTTCTGATCAGTATACACTGTATGTTTGTATGGAAATGTCAATGAAATGCACCCCCTCATGTAAAACTAATATATGCTAATAAGTCTTAAACAGCACCCCTTCATGATGAGGTGTTTAATATTCTTTATTCTTTTGTTTACTAATTCAACATCTATTTCTGAGTGCTGAGTAGGTTCACACCATCACAGGCAGTAGGAAGTCATGTATCTGCAGTCTTTAATTTTTAATGTGTAAAACTAGCAAAGCAAGCAATCAGTTTTACAGCCTTTCCTGTAGTTTCTGGGTAGAATTTAGCTCAAGGTGAAGAAGAAACTTTCATCAAGGGCCAAATGTTTGCTGACTGGTGTAAGTCAGCAAAGTCTAGGAGCAAAGGTTTAAATTAAATGCAGAGAACTGTGGAAAGCACAAGGAAGATTTGGTAATCAAGCACTAAGGAGACAAAAGACATCAACCAGAATTAAAATCCTATCTCAGGGAGGAAAAGAATATAAAGAAATAACATTTCTAACAGAGGATCATGATGTCACAGGAAGGGTAGGAGAAAAATACAAACATGCATTTTCTTCTCTGAGAAACAATTTACTTTGACATCTTTCCATCTGTTGGGCTGCAAAGTCAGCCATGTTTGACCTCATCAAATATTTATCACCATAACAGAACCTCAAACTAATAAAACAGGATACATTTTAAAAATATAAGATATAATGATTAACTTTAATTCCTAAGCAATAGTTGTGAAGTTTGTCCTCCATTACACTTCAAAGGCTATTGTAAGGGTCTTTGACAAATTTCCCAATAACAAGTATTCTGCTTCATCAAATGACAAAATATCCTAAGAATAAGCTAAGTGTGCATGGCCATTAGCTGGTCATTTTGAATCTCTCAACCTTGTAAAACCAATCATCTATTTGTGAGCTGCTATCCTTACTGCATCCTTTAGATGGTACTGTTTTCACAGAATTCAATACATATTTATAAACACTTACTAGTGCCTAACACATGCCAAGCATCAAAGTACACAGATGAGGAGGGTCCAGATCCTGCTCATGAGGAGCTTACAATCTCATGTTCTGCTTAACTTCAACAAAGTGCCCTCAACAAACAAATTCATAGACTCTCAAATTCATAGACTCTCTAGAGATCTGAGCATCCCAGACTAAGAAGTCAATCAAGTACAAAACAAAACAGAGTCCACAGCCAATCCTTCACAGGAATCAATGAGTTCTAAGGAGACATGACACAGATACAAACACAGGGCATCTTGGATTTCTGACAGATGGGAAGACAACAAAGTGGGCCTTGGGAAACACTGATGGCCACAGAAAAGCCCTAGAAACTACAGCACTTTATATTCCAACTGCAGAACACTGCTAGGGCGTCAGTCAGTCAGACTTTCATCTTTAGTTTTTAAGAATGGAAACAGGACCAATCATTTCTGAAACAACAGAGAACTAAAGGCCAGATTTCACTTCTCAATTACCAGTCAGTTTACTGAGACCCTAAGCAGAGGTGAAGCTAGTCATGGCATTCCTTGTGTTACATGAGAGGAAGAGGGGAAAGGCGTGCAAAGGCGTGCACAGTGAGTTACAGGCAGCTCTGCTTTGCTGTTTTTCGAATTAGGTTACCTCTGCATCATATCTGACTGCAGCAGAGAATAAGGAAAAGGCATTTTCCACAGTAATTCCTCGCTTGATAATGTGCTGACAAAGTTTTTTCAGTCTGGTTTCACAGTAAGATGTTGCCAAGTCCAAAAGACCTAAAAGTAAAAGGTATAGAAGTTTCAATGCAGTTTATAGTAACTTCATATAACTGATAAGCATACATATCTTATTTTAGTGAACAGATTAACTCGGGAGAAATTCCCTTTATGTACTAATTCTTTTTTATATAGTGTGGTCATGTTTCTTGCCCTGACTTGCACTTGGACTATGACCTTTTTGTTTTAGGGTTCCTGTCACACAGCTGTACCTGGCTATTGGATAAAAAGGGGTCTAACAAATATGCCCCAGCTGATTGAACTTCTAAGCTCCCATTCTTCGCTCCAAGTAGCTAAGATTACAGGTGGAAGGCATTAGTACTCAGCATGAGTAAAGTTTTTTACTACCTATCTCTGCTACCTCCAAAATCATGCCTCTTCTATATTCACTTTTTTTTTCTTTTTTCTTTTTTTTTTTGGGTCCAGTCGTGGGGCCTGAACTCTGGGCTTGGGCGCTGTCCCTCAGCTCTTCAGCTCAAGGCTAGTGCTCTACCACTTGAGCTACAATGCCACTTCTGGCTTTTTTCTTTTTGCTTATGTGGTGCTGAGGAATTGAACCCAGGTCCTCAGGCATGTAAGGCAAGCACTCTATCACTGAGCCACCTTCCCAGCCCTCTTTTGTAGTTTTTTAAACCACCTAAAATTTCCAATGGAAACAAGTATCCACAAGATCTTTTACGTATTTTGCTAGGAATTGAATCCAAGGCCTTGTACCTTCTAGACAAGTGCTATACCACTAAGCTATTGCTCCAACCCAATATCCTTAAAGAACAGTTTAGACAAATACTTTTATCTCCTATTTTTCTTAGAAATTCCAATGTATGCTTACTGTGTATGCTTACACAAAAAAAAACTCTGATACTAAATGAATTATACTTTTTAAAAATATTATATTGCCAGGTACCGGTGGCTCACACCTGTAATCCTAGCTACTCAGGAGACTGAGATCTGAGGATCATGATTCAAACCCAGCCTGGGCAGGAAAGTCCATGAGACTTATCTCCAATTAACCACCAGAAAACCAGAAGTGGCACTGTAGCTCAAGTGGTAGAACACTAGTCTTGGGCTGAAGAGCACAGGGACAGCGCCCAGGCCCAGAGTTTAAGCCCCATAAAGGACAAAAAAAAAAAAAATACATTGTGACATTTCCCTCTACTGCCAAGGATACTGCTAATCAGTATCAATTCCTTGAAATAAACAAATGGGAATGGCAAAAAGTAATTATTGACATCTCTAAACTAATGCAAAATACCTGATTTTCAACACGGCTTTATGGACATGAATGTATTTCCCATCAATTCGAAACTTCAGATCAGCAGTTTCTGGACTATCGAATTCTTTCTTCAGTGATTCTGCAACTGTTAAAAAGTCTTCCTGATCTGAAGGTAATGAGACACACTACTAATAGTGGACAGACTCAAAGCATAAAAGACTTCTGAACAATCAGCAGCAGTATGGTGTTTAATTTCATTTGTTCCTGAGAATCTATGCTTTAACAAACCAATAGCACAGCATCTTAACAACTATAAACTATCAAACAAAAAAACTCAGTACTTGGGAAAGCCAAATATATTAGCTAGACATGAGGAATGTTTGTTTAAAAACAGAAATCTAACTTTAAGGGTCTATCAGTTTTCTTAGCAATGTGCAGACATCTCTGCCCTGCTTTGAGGAATGGTATATTCAATTAAGAAAGAACAAGCAGGTTCTTAGTCAGATAAACTTCCTAAGTATCTGAAACCTAAACAATATAACAATGAAACCCTCACCCCGTGTACAACGTAAGATAAAAAAAAAAAACCCTGTTAGCCGGGCACTGGTGGCTTATGCCTTTAATCCTAGCTACTTAGGAGGCTGAGATCTGAGGATTGAAGTTCAAAGCCAGCCCAGGCAGGAAACTCCATGAGACTCTTATCTCCAATAAACCACTAGAAAACCAGAAGTGGCCTTGTGGCTCAAGCGGTAGAGTGCTCGCCTTGAGCTGAAGAGCTGAGGGATAGTGCCCAAGCCCAGAGTTCAAGCCCCAGGATCGACCCAAAAAAAAACAAAAACAAAAAAAAAACCAACTCTGTTAATCCTAAAAATTAATAATCTTCCTCTCTATGTAGAAACAGAGCAAATATTGCCAGTAAGAGATCTAAAGGGAACAGCTTTACATAACACACAGTCACATGACTAGATGAGAACTGATGAGTCTATGTAATTAGAGTTGGTTATTCTGAATAAAGTAAAGGCTCCTATGAATTCATGGGACTTTATGTGTTCTTTACATATATGAGGGAAGGAAAAAAAACAGAAGGTAACTACCAGGGAAATAAACTCTAGAGGTCCTTCCTGAGCACTGAACAGAGCTACTACAAAGACTTCTACTGCAACTGAGCTGAGCTAAAAAATGAAGAGCTCACCTGTCTAAAACCAGAAGGACCTGTGCCACTTGTGGTCCATCACCAGGGCAACTCTACAGGAAGGATCTGACACTACAATCTAGGCTGGAGCTTAACAGATAGACACAAAGTGTCACTTCTCCGAGTCTTGTAGCCTCACCCTACAGCTCTTCCACACTCCCACAAAGCAAAGCTCCACTGGCTATGCAGCAAAGGCACATAGTTCTCAAAAATTAGTCTTTCACTGCTCTATAGTCCAGTCACTTCAGGACAAAAGAAAGGAAATGAGTCAGATGGCAGTGCATCGAGTGGCATAAATGGCCTCCTCACCCACCCAAAACATGATTGCTTCTCAGAACCTCCACCTCAACATCTAGTCACAGGGTGGAAATGGCCCTTTTTCCTTTGCTTGTTTCTGATGGCAAGTACAAGACCTCTTCACAGAAGAAATGTGAAGTCTCCAGTTAATCTTCTTCTTAACACTTAGAGCCAAGAAAAAAAAACCACTCATGATGACATTTAGTTCCTGGAAGTATAAGAAGTCATCTAAAAAATACAGTTAGTAACAATTTTTTTCCAAACTTGACATTAAAAATTCCAGGAAAAGCTGGAAACACCAGTGTTTCCTATTTATAATCCTAACTACTCAAAAGACTTAGTCTGAACCAGTGGCAGTTCTAGGCCAGCCTAGATTTTTTTTTTAAAAGGTTCATCAGACTCTCATTTTAAACCATAAAAAAAATGAATGAGGTGGTGTGAACCAGCCATTCCAGCTGTAGTAATATATGTAAGAGCAGGATTACAGCTTAGGCAAACAGGATTTTATCTCAAAAGTAATCAGATGTATTTGCAATCCAAGCTACTCAGGAAGAGATCGGAGATCTGAGGATTGCAGTTCAAAGCCAGCCTGGGCAAGAAAGTTTGTAAAACAATTATGTCCAATTAACCAGCAAAAAGCCCAAAGTGGAATTGTGGCTTAAGTAGCAGAGTGCAGGCCTTGAGCAAAAAAGCTAAGAAACATCAGCCAGACTCTGAGTTCAGGCCCCAGTACTAGCACACATACATACAAAAATGTAACCAGAACAAGCTGGACACTGTTTAGGTCATGACTATAATCCAAACTACTCAGGAGGGTGACACCTGAAGTATCATGGTTGGAAATCAACCTGAGCATAAAGAACTGCAAAATTCTATCTTCAACTAACCAGCAAAATAACTTACTGGAGGTGTGACTCAAGTGATAAAGTACCAGCAGTGAGCAAGAAAGCTAAGCCAGAGCACAAAGCCCTGAGCTCAGGTCCTGGTATCAGTACAAAAAAGTTAAAAGCCGGTTGCTGATGGCTCATGACTGTAATCCTAGCTACTCAGGAGGCTGAGATCTGAGGTTCAAAACCAGCCCATACAGGGAAGTCTGTGAAATTCCAATAAACCACTCAGAAAACTGAAAGTAGCGCTATGGCTCAAGGGTTAGAGTGCTCACCTTGAGCTAAAAAGCTGAGGGAGAGTGCCCAGGCCCAGAGTTCAAGCCCCATGACTGACAAAAAAATAAAATAAAATAATAAAATAACTAGAACAAAAAGGGCTGGAGGCATGTCTCAAGCAGCAGAGCTCCTAACTAGCAAGTACAAAGACCTGAGTTCAAAACCTAAATACCACCAAGAGAAAATTGTTCTGAAAAGCACTGTGCATTTTAAGATGAATAAGAAAGGCTTATCAAGGTTCTTGCAAGTTCAGGTAAGTAGTGTAAAGAAATCTAAGGAAGTTATTTGGGCACTAGTGGCTCATGCCTCTAGTCCTAACTACTCAGGAAGCTGCAACAGGATCATAGTTCAAGCCAGCCTGGGCAGAGAAATCCTCAAGACTCCATCTTAACCAAAAGAAATGCAAGACTAGAGCCATGATTTAAGTGGTAGAGTGCCAGCCAGGAGCAAGACAGTTGAGCCAAGAGTCCAAAAGCCCTAAGTTCAAGCCTCCACACTAGCAATAAAGACAAAAAGAAATACCTAAAAATGTTGTACTGATGCGCTTTTACATGTGTATGATTATGGCCACATGGTCCCACTAATCATATTTTTCTAATTGTATTTATATAAATATATCTTTATATACTATAAATATATATTAATTAAATTTATTATATACTATATATAAATATTATAGATTATATACAAAGATATAAGGTTTGTATTTATAAATAGTATTACAGCTAAGCTGGCAAATGAATTGAAAGGCCATGTTCACTTGGCTTCACTTCAAGTTTGGTAGTAGCTGAACTCTTTCTAAAGATAACCTCAAACTAGCGGGGAGGGGGACTAGTAGGTAAATGCTTAGGGAATAGAGGGTTTTCTTCTGGGGTTGGAAAAGTATTTTGGAACATGATATAAATGATGAGTACACAACATTATGAACATAAATTCCACTGGGTTGTCCCTTTAAGTTAACATAATATAAAACTAACCATATAGTCTCAATTAAAATGGAAGTGCTTGGGGAAAAAGAAGTCCACAGGGATACATCATTACATACAAATAAATCTGATTATTAAAGGTAACAGAGAATGAAACACTCTAAAACCTGAAAGAGCCTACTTCTAGCAAATCTGCAATAATATCTAGTCAACTGCCAGAAGCACCCTCCTGGGCTTCTTACCTATAGACAGGAGGCGCCATGAGACAGCAGGGGTGGCGAAGCACGCAAACACATCATCGGTGCAGGAGAAGTGGGTGAGGTGAGGGAGAATGACGGACTGGCCCCGGCACTGGCCCCACATGTACACATGCCCACCCTGGGTCTTGGCCGCAGACGTGTGGGTGGAGTGACAGGCTGCAATCTCTACTACCCTGAAAAGTTTGGGGGAAAAAAATGATACTTCTTTTATCAGAAAAGTCTTCAATATGCACCCCTTGCCCATTGTAATTTAAAAGTTTGTTCTTAGAATACGTCAAAGTACCCCAAGCCCAGGGATATTAGTGGCCAAGTCCTAGCTATAAAAAGCAAAAGATCAGTAAAACAATACTGTCTTTCTTCCTGATAGCCTTACTTCTCATTTGGGCTCATTTTGAGTTAGGATAAATAATGCATAGTGGTAAGGAATACTTTGAAAAGCAGATTAGAAGCCAAAATCAATGAGGAAAGTGGACACTGACAACACATCCTGACTGTTCTGGGGGCTGAAACAGTAGTTTAAATATACATATGTTACTACTACCTTTAATAGAGCATTTCCTAGTTAAAAGAGAAAACAAAACAAAAATGACTTTTCTCTCTTCCCCACACAAAGCTCATAAGCACTTGGATAAGAGTAATGGACTATAACTTAGGGCTGGTGGCTCATTTCTGTAATCCTAGACAGGAGATTGAGAGCTGAGAATCACAATTCCAAGCCAGCCTTGAACAGGAATGTCTGTGAAACTCTCATCTCCAACTAACCACAAAAAGGCCAGAAGTTGAGCTGTAACTCAAGTGGTTCAGAAAGCAAGCCTTAAGAGGAAAAGCTAAGGGGAGCGCCCTAGCTCTGAATTCAAGTCTCAGTACTGGCATGCACACACACACAAAGTAATGGACTCTGATGCCCAAAAGTACATTAGGCCAAACCACTTTATCACTAGGCTCTTAGAAGAGTCCAATAAACAGCACACAGTGGGGACCGATGGTATGGCTCAAGAAGCTGAGCGTATGCCTTGCAAGCTCGAAGCCTAGAGTTAAAATCCCAGTACTACCAAAAGGAAAAAAAAAAAAAAAAAAGAGACTCAAGTGGGTAAAACCTCACAATGTGGTTCAATACATATTATGCATCTATTCCAGTAGTACACATTAAATCAAATCAATATTTAAACAGATGGTGTCCTTTAAAGAAGTTGGCTCAAGAACTCAAGGGCAGTGGTGGGAGGGAGCGGATGGGAGGAAGGGAATAAGAGGGAAAGAGGAAACAGCTTATACTAAGCAAAAGGAAAGAAATGTACATATCACCACCGTGGGAGAAATAGTTGTATTGTCAAAGCTCAGAGAATTCACAAACATTATAGAAAATGATGACAATTTGCCTTGTGAAGGTTAAAATGTGTTTGCGATTTAACTAAGTATCACTATCTTACAATACTATGAAATTTGTGCAATTTAAGTAATCACTTAATCTCAGTTAAAAAAAAGTTGGCTCAAATGAAGTATTTTGTGACATTTTTTCAGCAATGCAATTCTTAATTTTTCTTTTTGAAGAAGCATGCTTTGTAAAGCAACACCTGTAATCAAGGGTATACAATTTGGAGATTCCTCAATTCTGCTCTGGTTTCTTTGAAATGTTAGATTATCGAAACATCAACTACATTACATACATTATTGAAGGCAAGCCAGGTTATAACATTTTATCGTGCCACACTTTGAATCTCAAAATGGCCACAGACTCTGACTTCCCCATTCAATGGTCCACACCAAGCCTGCCAGAATTACATTAAGATGCAGTCATTTATCAAAACTAGTGGCTACTTCAGAAAGCTTCATGAGAATCATATCTTCACGTTGGTTCTGTCTGGTATTCAAAACTATCTTTAAATGAGAATATTAATGAACAGAAAAGTCACAAAGCCAACCACCACAGCTCTGCCACATACAATCTTAAGGCCACATCGCACACACAGTCCTTAGATAGGACACAGCCACGTTACCTTTCTTTCTCCACCATGATGTGTGCTGGGCTTAGCAGATTATTTTTATTGCCAGTTCCCAGCTGCCCATATGTGTTAGCTCCCCAGGCATAGAGCAAGCCCTCATCTGTTAGTGCTAGTGTATGTGCATAGCCACAGACGATCTGCAAGTAAAAGGAAACTGTTACCATACCAAGAAACAGGAAGGTCAGGGACAACACTTGCTTAAAGATCATAGCCACCCTTTGAGAATGTCAGGTCATAGCATCAAGTTTGGTCTGGAATTTGTTGGCAACTGAGAAGCACTTGGGAAAACCAACACGCTGCTGGATTTCTCCATGAGTTGCTTTACCCAGTCAAGACTGATGTAAAACATAGTGAGTTTCCTTCTCATGGGAATTTAAGAAATAACAAACCACTCAATGTGGGAAAGGACATGGAATTGCCAGAAAAGAATGATAAAAGAGTAACCTCCAAAATATCTTCATGTCAAGAGCAAAGAAGAGGGACGGGGGTACAACCAGTAAGGCCATCACAATATACCTGGTTCACACACACGCTGTGGAGAGCTGCCACCCTCACGGGGGTCAGCTGGTTGCCATTGTTTCCCAAGCCTAGCTGACCATTGCCATTGTAGCCCCAGCCATACACCTGAGAGGGAGAGAAAGAAGAGGCAAGCGATGAGAACTGCTAACGAAGAGAAAACCCAGTCCTTCTAAACAAGTTAGATGCTCCAACATCTGCAATTCACCCAATGTGGCCTTACAATTTATCCAAAGAGATGTTCTGAGGTAGGAGGTGACAAGATTTGGCATCAATTCCTACTCCAAGACTTACCAGTTAGCCTTGGGAAGTTTCTCATGCATGTATTATACATGAAAAAGTTATTTGCAGTTATTAAATAGCTACTGTACATTCAGATACAGAAAAGGACTAAATATTTAGTCAAAATTTAGCAAAAGAAATGCACACACATTTTTTTGCAGACTAAGAGGTACTAAGAAAACTAATCAAAACACTACAGGAACAGTGAGGAGGAAGGACTTAGCTACAGGAAGAAAGTTTAGGGACTAACAATCGGAATGGGCTGAATATCACGACAGTGAAGGCACTCCAGGAAAAATCTATCAAAGGGTGAGACAGGGGACAAGAAGAGGGGCTGGATGAACACAGAGAAAAAGGAGAGGGGCTGGGAAGGTGGCTCAGTGTTAAGAGTGCTTGCCTTGCATGCATGAGGCCCTGGGTTCGATTCCTCAGCACCACATAAGCAAAAAGAAAAAAGCCAGAAGTGGTGCTGTGGCTCAAGCGGTAGAACGCTAGCCTTGAGCTGAAGAGCTGAGGGAGAGTGCCCAGGCCCAGAGTTCAGGCCCCACAACCGGACCAAAAAAAAAAAAGAAAAAGAAAAAGGAGAAAAGACCAGAAGGGAAGGGCTAGATGATAAAGTCATGAGGGAAAGTAGAATAATGCAATAAGAATTCCCAGTGAAATATTTCAAAATGAGAATTTATATTTTAAAGATCACACAGGCCACCAAAGAAGGGTGACAAGGACACAAAACATTAGAAGCAGAAAAATCATTCCATATATTACCTTTCCCATTGGCACACAGTGAGCTCTGATGAGGCTCTGAGCTAGGAAGTGAAGGAACCAAGAGAGGGGGATGGATTATAAAAAGGTTCTCATAGAACAAAATGGTTCCCTCAAAGGCTGGAATGAGAGGGGATCATATGCTAACAGAAACAGCTGGAGGGCTGAAAATATGGCTTAATGGTAGAGTGCATGCCTAGCAGGCATGAAGCCCTGGATTCCATTCCTCAGTACCACATAAACAGAAAAAGCCAGAAGTGTGACTGTGGCTCAAGTGGTAGAGTGCTAGCCTTCAGCAAAAAAAGCTCAGGGAGAGTGCCTAGGCCCTGAGTTCAAGCCCCAGGACTGGCAAAGAGGGGGAGAGGAGGGAGGGACAATAAAAGAAAAAAAGGGAAACAAACAGCTGGAGTACTAAAGTACTAAACAAATATGGACTAGAAACAGACAAACAATTAGGCTAGTTCCAATCAGAAACCTAAGACTTGTGATGGCATTACATTCTTCAGCAAGGCAGGTAGAGATGTGCACTGGGGTTTCTCAGGGTAATATGACAGAGGAACAGGGGCATGGGCTTTAGAGTAGTCAAAGCCAGAAGTACATGATAGGTATCAACTTTTTGCATGAAGCCATCAACATTTTTTTATGCTGGTCTCAGAGCTTGAACTCAGGGTCTAGGTGCTGGCCCTGAGCTTTTTTGCTCAAGGCTAGCCTCCACTATGTGAGCCACAGCTCCACTTCTAATATGGGTAGTCTCACACACTTTCCTGCCCTATCTAGCTTCAAATTGCAATTCTTAGTCCTCAGCCCTCTGAGTAGCTAGGATTATAGCATAAGCCACCAATGCCTGGGTGGCTATCAACATTTTTAATGGCACTCTTCTTGACATCAAAATTCTAACCTGAGAATTTATCCTACAGAAATATACACATAGAAGCCAGGTACCAATGGTTCCTGCCTGTAATCCTAGCTACTCAGGAGGCTGAGATCTGAGAATCGCAGTTTTGAAGACAGCCTGGGCAGGAAAGTCCATGAGACTCTTATCTCCAATTAACTACCAGAAAACCAAAAGTGGCACCATGGCTCAAAGTGGTAGAGCACTAGTCTTGAACGAAAAGGAGCTCAGGAACAGCAACCAAGCCCTGAGTTCAAGGCCCATGTCCAACAAAAAACAAAACAAAACAAAACAAAGCAGGAAACACAGGCATAGATACACAGAAAATAGCAGAAAATGAACACAGCACTGCTTATGACAGATAAAATTAACAATGATTAAAATGCTTGTCAGTGGAGCTCCAGCCATGGGTGATTGATAGAAGCAGGCAGGATTCAGACCAGATACCCTGTGGATAATTGGTCTAGGACATGAAGACAAAGCAGCACATGCTGCAAATTGAGCAGAAAAACAGATGGGTATACAACAGCAGAGAAAAACAGTAGTAACCTAGTACTGCTCCTCCCCAGCTAAAGGTAATTATACTTATCCTTATATAATTATTTATAAAGAGGAATTCAGAACTGATAAAAATGGAAAAAAGATTCACTTTTTAGGTTTCCTTTGTTAATTTTATAAAAAATTATATCTTTAAAAAAAATAAAGGTGTAAACTTTGGAAAACAGTATGGAGGTTCCTCAAAAGACTCCACATAGAGCTCTCCTATGACCCAGCAATCCCACTTTTGGGCATTTACCCAAATGATCACAAACAAGACCATTACTAAAGCTACCAGCACAACTATGTTTATTGCAGCATTATTTACCATAGCTAAGATATGGAACTAACCCAGATGCCCCTCAGTAGATGAACAGATCAAGAAAATGTGGTATGTATACACACACACACACACAAAAAAAAAAAATGGAATTCTATGCCTCCATCAGAAAGAATGGCATCACCCCATTTGTTAGGAAATGGAAAGACTTGGAAAAAATTATATTAAGTGAAGTAAGCCAGGCCCAAAGTTTCCCTTATTTGCAATAACTAGTACATGTCTAGGACAAGCAGAAAAGGTCATATAACATGTTAAGTGAAACGAACCCCAAGAGAGGGACACAAGTGGGTTTTTTTTCTTTCTTGCTATTGTTTTTAACATATTTATAATGTATATGTGATTTTTTTGCTTCTTTTGTATGTTCCTCCCCCACGGTATAAACTGTTTTCACTGTATTTGATTTCAGTGCCCTGCATCTTGTATATTCATTTTTCTAATTTGGGAAGGGGAAGGAAAATAACAAAATGCTGAAATAAGGATACAGGATGACCCATTGTAACAATGAGATGTACAAGACACTATGTTGAAAACGAACTTTACAACTTTACAACTTCGGGGGTGGGGGTAGGGAAGAGTTGGGGAGGTGGGGAGAGAAAGGATGATAGAGGAAAAGTAAAGAAGGAGGTAACAATAAGTGTACTCATCTTACTCATGTAACTGTAACCCCTCTGTACAGTATTTTTACAATAAAAAACATATATAATTTTTTTTGGGTCCTGTCATGGGGCCTGAACTCTGGGCCTGGGCGCTGTCCCTCAACTCTTCAGCTCAAGTCTAGCGCTCTACCACTTGAGCCATAGCGCCACTTCCAGCTTTTTTCCTTTTGCTTATGTGGTGCTGAGGAATCGAATCCAGGGCCTCATGCACGCAAGGCAAACGCTCTACCACTGAGCCACCTTCCCAGCCCATAAATTTTTTTTTTAAAGGTGTAAGAACAATGGAATAGAGGCTCTTAGCAGCTATCCCAAGGAATTCTGATCATCCAGAATGACAACCAAATTGAGATTAAAAAGTAAGTCTGGGGCTGGGAATGTGGCTTAAAGGTAGAATGTTTGCCTAGCATGCATGAAGCCCTGGGTTCAAAGTCTCCATAGCACAAAAACTAGAAAAAAGCCAGAAGTGGCACTGTGGCCCCAGTGGTAGACTGCTAGCTTTGAGCACAGAGAGGCTCAGGGACAGTGCCCAGGCCCTTAGGTTCAAGCCCCAGGACTGAAAACAATGAACAAACAGAAAACACTCAATAAGTCTGCATAGGTGAGCATAACAGTCTGTATCCATAGAATTTCTGTAAGCACTAGGAGATGCATAGATGGTAATGCAGAGGTGGTGAGTGACCCATCTAAGTATTAGTTTCTGCCAGAAATAATTTAAGAGAAATAACCATTAGCTCAAAAGTGACTGATGGGGTAGTTTTTAAAAGTTGCTAACAATCAGGACAACAAATTCTACTCTATCAAGTTGCTTCTTCCTAGGAGCAAACATTTGAGATGTGGTAACTAACTACACCAAGACTTTGTATCAGTTGTCTTGAAAATGTGCAGTTTACCTTTCCATGGTTAGAGAAAGGTGGTGTGAGATTCCTGAACCCATTAAATCAGAAATACCTATAAGCATTAGGCTATATGGATCTTGCAAAACATCAAATGTAGACATAACAGAATCTTTCTTTGCAGATAAAGCTTGGGATTTCAAGAAGTCATTCTAAAGAACAGATACCATTTGACTGACTAGTGCCTCTAACCCTCAGTCAAAAATCAGTTAACTGTCAATAAGCTGCCAAGAAAAAGTTTCTTGTTTATGAGAAAGAGGAGTAGAGGAGTGACTAGAGTGCAGAGAACTCACCTCACCATTGTCCAAAACAGCCATGGAGGAAGTCTGACCACAGGCAATGCCAACCACCTTCTTAATATGTAAACAGTTTGTAACTTTTCGAGGAGTTGGTTGATTTGCTGTAGATCCTGATCCCACCTGACCACAATTGTTATAGCCCCATGCAAATACCTACAAGAAAAAAAGAAAGAAAATGAGGGCTTATGATGTGCTAGATAGTGCTGGATTATTATACTATTTAATCTTTGCTATACTCTATAAAATGATGCTGGGGTAGGCAAAAGTCACATCCTCTCTTCAGGTGGATAGATGAAACCAAAACAGTTCTAGAAACTGAAACTGAGATTAGAATCTTACTTGCAGATTCAGAGCCAATTACTAGAACAAGCGAAACTGGGGCACAGGCATTTTACTATGTACTTACTATGATCTTGCCCACTGTGCATGGTACCTTGATAATTAGGATAAGTATACAGATACTTTCTTCAAGCATCAGTAGCAATGAAATATATGCCACACAAGTATCAATGATGTAAAACAATCTGCTCAATTCTTTGTACAAATACATTTTCTGCTTTTTCTTGTCTTACCAATCAACAATACTGAGCATTATATAGTTTTCCCTGAAATAGTTCTTCATAATGTAGTAAGGCTTGCAAGTGCTAAGGAGACATTTGTCCCTACAGAAATGACCCTAGTTATTAGGCTTTTCCTGGCGATATTTGTTCTGAATTCTTATTTGCTCTCTGTCAGCTTCAGAGAGCAATCATTCTCCACTGAATCTCAAGCCTATTTTTCTCCTCTTACCTGCCATATTCTGAAAACCATATTTTTAATACAGAGAGACAAAAAGAAAACACTCCCAAGTCCTTTTAAACTAGTATGGCCATAGAAAACAAGAAGCAGGTATTGAAGCAGGTATTGGCAGTAAGGGAAATTTCTTCCAACACAAAGAGAATTTCTAACACCACACTTTACATGCCTTCAGGAAACACTCTTCACACATTTGCATGTTTGCATGTATATGCACATATGTGTATATATGTATGTGTGTGTATGTTTGGTACATATGTGCCAGTTCTAGCAAAACAATAATCTTTTTATTTTTTGGGGGGGTACTGGTCCTGAACTCAGGGGCTAGGCACTATAAATGAGCTTTTTCACTCTAGGCTGGACTCTACCACTTGAGCCAAAACTCCACTTCCAGCTTTTAGTGGTTAATTGGAAATAAGAGTGTCAAGGACTTTCCTGGCTTTGAAATGCAATCCTTAGATCTCAACCTCCTGAAGAGCTATGATTGCAGGTATGAACCACCAACACATTGCGGTTTTAGTTTTCAGAAACAAGATCTTACTCTGTAGACAAGCTTGCTTGGAACTCAATAGCTCACTATCTCCTGTCTCCACCACTTGGGGGAAATATTATGGGAATGTGTGCCATGGGTGTACACTGGCTATGTAACCATTCTGACTACATAACACATGTAATGCTTGAGAAACTCACTGTGTTCCCACAATGCTTTTAGCTACAAATTATGCCAAAACTAAATATGATCACCATTTTTCTTATTTTCAATTTTTTTTGGTACTAGAATTTGAATTCAGGGTTTCACGCTTGCTAGACAATTGCTCTACCATTTGAGCCATACTCTCATCCCAATTTCTTACTTTAACGCAGAGCACTTTCATAATAGCTGAAAAACAGGAGCAACTATGGATCATCTAGAGATTAGTGGGTAAACAAAATGTGGTATTATACATACATTCAGCCTGAAGACACTAGCTAAGAGAAGTAACAAAATGGCAAAGAGTGTCTATTCCACTAGGAGTTTCCTAGAGCGGTCAGAGTATAGAAACAGAAGGTAGAAGGATGGTTGCCAGAAACTGAGGAAAGAGACTGAAAAATTAATGTTTAACAGATAGTCAACTTTATTTTTAAGGATACAGGTGGACCTGTTGCAACAATGAGAAGTACAAGTTGACATGTCCAAAACGAGCTTTACAACATCGGTGCAGGGGGGGGGGGGGGGGGGGTGGCTGGGAAGGGTTGTGAAGGGTAAACAAAGGAGGAGGATGCAATGCTTGGTAAGAAATGTATGCATTATCCTGCCCATGCAATTGTAACCCCTCTGTACAGTATGTTCACAAATAAAATTAAATTAAATTTAAAAAAAAAAGATAGTCAACTTTACAAGATGAAATGAGTTTTCTCAGTGTGGTAGTAAAAGTTGTGTACAATAATCTAAATGTACGCTGGGAAGGTGGCTCAGTGGTACAGCACTTGCTTTGCATGCATGAGGCCCTGGGTTTGATTCCTCAGCACCACATAAGCAGAAAAAAAAAGCTGGAAGTGATACTGTGGCTCAAGTGGTAGAGCGCTAGCCTTGAACTGAAGAGCTGAGGGACAGCGCCCATGCCCAGAGTTCAGGCCCCACAACCGACAAAAAAAAAAAGGTTGAGCCAATAATCTAAATGTACTTAAATTCTACATAATAAGAATAAGATGGTAGTGTGTATTTTTTTACAATTAAAAATAAAAGCAGTGTGCTTACCTCTCCATCAGCTGCCAAAGCCAGTGAATGGTGTGAGCCACAAGCTACTTCAATCACCTGCTTGATCAAGAGATTGGTACAAACTTGTATGGGAGCAACGCCTTGACTGGTGGTCCCATTCCCCAGCTGGCTGTATCCATTGTGGCCCCAAGCGTAGACCACTCCATCTATATACATGAGCACACAGAGAAATCAGCTCCAAGGGAAAACTCTCTTCTGCAGACTTAGTGCAACTCATTCTCCAAATATGTCTCACATTGCCCTCTCTTCTCTGTAAAATAAATTCTAATAGGACTCCAGGAACAGAAGGAAGAACGAGAGAATAGAAAAAACAGAAGCAAAATCTTTAATCAAAGAACTTGGTACTCATATAGAATCAATTTTACAGTCAGAAATCAGTCTATGTGTACAAACATTTTACTTTCTACACTGAAATTTTTTCAAAAAGGTATAAAGTGACTTTTTTAATGCTTATTAAAAATGAGTATTTTTTAATGTATACCAAAATCTACACAAAGCCAGGCACTGGTGGCTCACACCCGTAATCCTAGCTACTCAATAGGCTATCTGAGAACTGAGGTTTGAAGCTAGCCCAGGGAAGAAAAGTCTGTGAGACTCTGATCTCCAATTAACCACAAAAAAGCTAGAGGTAGAGTTCCTGGCTCAAGTGGTAGAGCACTAGCCTTCAGAGAAAAAAAAATGCTCAAGGACAGTGCCCCTGAGTTCAAGCCCTACCACACCCCCAAAGAAACAGAATCTGGACAAGAAGCAATAATAAGGATTAGGCTTGCTATATTGTATTGTGATATCTGAAGGACTCTAAGACTGGGAGTATTTCCATAGCTGGGGACTGGCATCATCAGGAAGCACCATCACTAACATTTATAAGGAACTCTTTGAAAAGCATAATCAGTTCTGAACTCAGGAACAGCTAAATGGAAAAGCCAGAAGGTAGGGAGCACACAGAGCTTAAACACTACCATCCCAATGTGTTCACTAACCCCAATGCCAAAGATCTTCCGCCTGGATCTTTCTTTTTAATGGACTTTGTCTTTTAGAACTCTAGCAGTAACTTTTGTTTCATATCCTTTTGAAACATTATCATTTCATGCATTTTTCCTGACTGCATATCAAGAGTAGGCTGTCCCTAGATACATGCTTTTCTCTCTTTTCTACAGCTAAAATAAATGATCACTCAAGACCAGGTGACATGATCCATCCAAAGAACCTTGAACTGTGGCTGCCATGAACACTGCATAACTCTAGCCTCGAGGAAAAAAGGGAGTTCCAATCCTGGCAGGAAGAGGCGAGACTGTGGTCATAAAACAGAAGCAGAAATGATACTTGACTGGAAATCTTTTCAAGCACTCCTGCTCAGTAATGATGGTGACTAGAATTGTGCAGTTCCATGGCCAGAGTGCAGCCTGGGCAAGGGCTCATAAGATCACAAAAGCCACTACTAAAAATAGTCTATTCACACCTCTCCTTTTTCATTGATAAAGCATGAGAAAGGTAAACTCCACCCAAGATGGCTTTCAGCACCAAATCCTGCAGACACCCTCATAATCAATGCATCCCAACTAGATACAGCATTTACTTCTCCAACCCTTTTCTGTCTGCACTATTCACAACAGGCCAGAAACTATATTGCAGGATAACTTGAGGCTTAAGAGACGTGCAAAATTACACAAAGATGTGACAACAGACTAGAGAAGTGTGGAGGGAATGAAAAAATATCCATCGGCTTCTGACCTTTAAGTGTATCCAGGGTCTAGTCTTCACGTACTGGACATTAAGTTGGAAAAGTGGCCAAACTACTTATTTTATAAGTAAACTAATATTGCTTCAGAAGACAAAAATCTAGAAGCACAAGGTCTGTATATAAAATAGGGTATCATAGAGACATTGAGCTTCAAAGCAGAGACCAGGTAGAACTAGACGTTCAATTTGATCAAAATATTCCCAAAACAGCCTTTAGAAATGCTGTACAACCAGCTACTCAGAAGGCAGAGATTGGGCTGGGAAGGTGGCTCAGTGGTAGAGTGCTTGCCTTGCATGCATGAAGCCCTGGGTTCGATTCCTCAGCACCACATAAGCAGAAAAAAGCCATAAGTGGCACTGTGGTTCAAGTAGTAGAGTGCTAGCCTTGAGCTGAAGAGCTGAGGGGTAGTGCCCAAGCCCAGAGTTCAAGCCCCACGACCAACCAAAAAAAGAAAGAAAGAAAGAAGGCAGAGATTATTATGATTGTAGTTTGGGGGGAAAAGTTAAGACCCTATCCCAATCAATAAGCTGGTGTGATGGTACACACTGTACCCATTTTTTCACTTACTTTGCAAAGTAGTTTTGCTATCATCTCAGCCTTCTACAAAAATGTAAGCCCTACCTGAACAATAAAGCAACAAGGTGATCTGAGGCTATGGCTCCAGAACACCTGCATAAGCAATCACAAGGCCCAAAGTTAAAACCCTAATACAGCTACTCAGGAGGCTGAGATCTGAGGATCACAGTTCAAAGCCAGCCAGGGCAAGAAAGTGAGACTCATTTCCAATCAAACACAGAAAAAGCCAGAAGTGGCACTGTGATTCAAGCGGTAGACTGCTAGCCTTCATCAAAAGGAGCTCAGGGATAGTACCCAGGCCCAGAGTTCTAGCCTACAACCAGAAGGGGGGAAAAAATCTTAGTACCACCCAAAAAATAATTATACATCTATCTATATCTATATATATGTACACACACATGTGTGTACATATATATAGCACAAATCAGTAAGGTGTGGAGAAATTTAAAATCCAACTGAAATGATAGTAAAAGGGAAAAAAAAGTCATGAGCATTCAGGACAAAGAATAACAGAGGAGATAACAGAATGAGTAGTATCAATAAAACTTTGGAGGATGAAAAAAAGATAGATGTGGTAATTAAAACTTCAAATGAGAATTAGTATCATCACATCTGCAAAAGGAGAAGCTGCCAGGAAGCCAATTCCAACACCAGGATGCCAGGAAAACCCAGAGACTACAGGAAACCCAAATGCAGGCTGCAAAAAAAAACAGAAGCAAGTCCTCATCACTTCTCCCTGTGGAGCCAGACAATCTCTCCTAACACTGGTTATCGGGAGACATATATAGCACTTACTCAATGTGAATTTCTTGTAACTGTTCTGCATCCCTACTTTTCCCTTTGCCCAAATTCGCCTCTCTCCTTCCCCTTTTCAAACACCACAAAGTAAGCAGAGGATCCAGGCCCAGAAGGCTCAAAACAATTCAGAGAGGTGCTGAAGGCAGTCATGAGGTGTTATTGTTTCAGAAGGAGAATTTACAATGTTATGTTCTGCCCATCCCTCCTTGTTCAGTATCTAGGAGGCAGATAGATTCTCCTATCCCCAGGCCTGGAAAATGGAAAAGTCTATACAGAAGACCATATAGTGATACTGGAAATGTCCCTCACAAAATCAGTACTATCTCCTATAAAGAAGTTCAGAAGGGGGCAGGGGGATGATGGGAAGGGATGGGAAGGGGAAACAAAGGAGGAGGCTACAATGCTTGATAAGAAATGTACTCATTATCTTGCCCATGTAATTGTAACCCCTCTGTACAGTATTTTCACAATAAAAATAAAAATAAATAATATGTATCGAAATGAACTCCAAGAAATAGAAACAAGAGATTTCTGGTAAAAAAAAAAAGTTCAGAACTTGTGAACTTCCCCCACAAACACAACTACCAATATTCAGATCTGTACACTTTTGCTTTACCTGTAAACAGACTGCTAACAATCACCAGACTTTGGAGAAAGTCAGAAGCTGTTTGGGAGCGGAAATCAATGGGAAGGGAAAGGGCAAATGGAAAGGGTTAAGGGGGTAAATATATCAAAGCAAATAAGTAGGGAAGGGGATAATATATGTATAATATATGCTAATACAAAATGAAAAATGAAAAAATGAAAAAAGTCAAAAATTGAAAAAAGTAATTCAAGCAGGAGTGAGGTAACTACCACATTATGTTCAACACCAGTTAAGACTCGTATTCAAGGATCAGCTCAGACCTGCCTTTTATACTTAGAGAAAGATAACTTGGAGAGGATCCATACATTGGTTAAGAGCACTCACAACACTAGTTAGCAAAGCAGTACCCAACAAAGCTTGATCCCTAGTATAGATATAGGATGCAGTCAGTCTCTGAAAGGCTGATCTCCTAGAACATCCAGCAAAATCCTGAGGACCTTGCAAAAGAGAACAAAAGCTAATGGGCTTAAAACATGAAAGGAAGAAGTTACATGTAACGAATTTTTACAATACTGGTGGGCCATACTGCAGATAAATTACAAAGAAAAAACATTTATTCTCCCACAGACCTTAGGGAGATGGAGACAAGAAATGCTACTCAGAAAGCAGAGATTGGGCTGGGAAGGTGGCTCAGTAGTAGAGTGCTTGCCTTGCATGCATGAAGCCCTGGGTTCGATTCCTCAGCGCCACATAAGCAGAAAAAGCCATAAGTGGCACTGTGGTTCAAGTGGTAGAATGCTAGCCTTGAGCTGAAGAACTGAGGGGTAGTGCCCAAGCCCAGAGTTCAAGCCCCACGACCAACCAAAAAAAGAAAGAAAGAGGGCAGAGATTATTATGATTGTAGTTTGGGGGCTAATGCTAATCGGCTTAAAACATGAAAGGAAGTAGTTACACGTAAGGAACTTTTACAATACTGGTGGTCCAGAGTGCAGATAAATTACAAAGAAAAAACATTTATTCTCCCACAGACCTTAGGGAGATGGAGACAAGAATCTGTCCACCTGTATCTCCCATTCTTTCAATGTGGCACCCACATGAATGTCCAAAAATAAACTAAGATTTCTTGATGTAAGATTCAGAAACTACACAAAGAAAATAAAACCAGTATTACCTGTTTATAAAAATATACCAAAATTGCCTTGTGACCACAAATCCACTGAAACACCAAACTGGAAAAGATCACTTCTTTTGCTGTAAGCCAGTCTTCTATAAGTTTACACACGTAGTCTAAGAACCTCCAAAAGTTTTGCCTAATTTTGTGCACAACATCCTGTGGCTATTCCACAGTTGCCTATGTAGTTAACTTCTAGCTGTTTTGTGTACTTCCCTCAGAAATTAAGAAACAAGCAACCTTAGATTAATTATTTGAAAGAGCCTTAGTTTTTGTTGTTGTTGTTTTTCTCCCTTCACTTTGAATTGCTCCATTTCCCACAAACTGAAAGCTAGATTGTTCCCTTTACCTTCAGTGCTGAGGAGAACATGGGGGCCACTCCCATAACTAAGGCTTTTAATTTTTTTGCCACATAAGGCTTCCAGTTTCTTGGGTACAAGTGTGCTCTGGTTATCTCCAGTTCCTAGACAGTTACTATAGTTCAGTCCAAACACGAAGACCTAGAAAACAAATAGTTTTGTCTAGTACATCCTGACTCAAGTCACATTAAAAAAAAATTCTCCAGTGAGTTCTCTACTCTGAAAATAACATTCGAAGTTCAATATGACAGTTTAGTAGGGTAGACTGCTGACGTTACTTAAGTTTCACAATACCTATCTATACTATGAAGAGTGATACCAACTCAGATGCCAAGAGAGAAAGTGTATCAAAAGTACAATCTTCCCAAATTTCAGGTTCTCTTTATATCTTACCTTCTCTCTCCTTTGAGTGCCATGATTTGAAACCCAACTCCAAAATAAGCCCCAAAACTTAAGTTCTAATGTCCAGAGTCTTACCTCATCATCATCAGTGACATACAGTGCTTCATTGGCTGAGGTGCCAAAGACACATGCTTTCCGAATAGATGAGATTTCCTGAGGTGAAAGCAGACTGAAGATTGGCCACTTTCCTACATCCACCATGACTCTGGCTTCAAGCTATTCCTATAAATAAGCCATCTCTGCTATATCAAATAGATGCCAAGAAAAAATTAATGTCCACAAAGCTAACTCCTAAATAAATGCCAACAAAAATTAATTCTAGATTAAATTACCTACCTTTGGTTAAATGAATTACTCTTTCCCAAGTAACGTATCCAATATTTCCAACCTTCAGATCTTGGCTTTTCCTGCAACAAAAGCACAATATACTAGAACCAAGACTAGTCAGCCTTAACTGTTGTATACACATTAGCAGTTCATAAAGAGAAAACAAGTTACCTGGATGGAACCAGGACCTCTCCTCAGGGATTACAAAAGTACTGCCTAAAATAGTTCTCATCTAGGGGTGTGCATGTGTGCATGCATGATTGTGCTACAAAAATAAGAAGCATTATTTGTATTCCCACTCCCAAGTTAGTCAAAGACCCAGCTCTGTAGAAAAATCACTGAAGGGCTGGGAAGGTGGCTCAGTGGTAGAGAGCTTGCCTTGCATGCATGAGGCCCTGGGTTCAATTCCTCAGCACCACATAAGCAGAAAAAAAAAGCCGGAAGTGGCGCTGTGGCTCAAGTGGTAGAACGTAGCCTTGAGCTGAAGAGCTGAGGAACAGCGCCCAGGCCCAGAGTTCAGGCCCCACAACCGGACCCCAAAAAAAAAAAAAGAAAGAAAAGAAAAATCACTGAAATAACAGGAATATGATGTTCCTCAGGAAGCCCAGAGAAGGCAAGGTGCTAAAACACACTCAAGATTTATAGGATATTATAAAAGGAAGTATTTATTCCGGTTCTAATTTTCTGACTACATTGTATACATATAGAAAGGCTGTATTTCATTTCACACTGAGAAAAATTATCATATAACAAAGACAATGCAATTCACCCCAACTTGGGCACATGTTCAAAGAGCCCCAGGGGCTAGATCATACTGAAACTATGCCTCCATTTGTATCATCCAAAGACATTCCCCATGAGCATCAACTGAACAAGGAAGATCAGTGCTCAGCCCCAAGCACCATACCACATATATTCAATGACGACTAAACACCATCAAATCCTGTCCCTACAGCCAGACTTTTCAAGCAACTTTGAATGTTCCATGCATGCATTGGTACGTACATGGATACACACAGCCTGTATGTCTTGTGTTTGTGTAGCAAGGACTGGAAAAGAAGTAGGAAAGGGGGGAGGAAAATGTGTGTGAGAGATTTTTTAAAATTGTTTCAAAGAATATAGGAAAGTAAGTACTCGTACTATTCCTCTCGGGAGAGGAACCTGGGAGAATACTTGCTTAGCCTGAGGGAGGCCATGAGTTCAATCTCTACTATTGCAAAAAATGTTGCTAGTAATGGTGATGAATTGTGTGTAATTCCTTTCAGAGCCAGTATACAATTACATAAGCATTTTATATGTATGTGTGTATGCATACAGACTTTAAAATACAAGAAGAATTTCTTCCCCCTGCTTAACAGAACATCATAGAAATCATTCCAGTTTAGCACATGTAAAACTAACTTCATTTCTTTCCTATGGTGCTACAGCATTTTATCAATTTAACAATTTCCTTGTTTGCTATTAAGAGACTTTTTATTTCTGGACTTTTCCTGCAATTATGGCTCGAATATTATATAAATTCCCATTCTATAAATATATTTATAAATTTATAAATATAATTGCTAGGTCAAAATTTAATAGCTATTTTAGCATTAGTAGCTATGTCAACCTATTTTCTAATGTTCTCTCTCTCTCTCTATATATATATCTATATCTATAGATATAGATATATAGGAACCGCAATGTAGAATAGCATTTGTTTATCCTTGATTTAAAGTGTTCTTTATAGCCAGATCCTGGGTGGCTCACATTTGAAATATAGCTACTCAGGAGGCTGAGCACTAGAGAATCAAACTACAAAACCAGCCCAGGCCAATTTCAAGACTCCGTGTCTTGTTGGGTGCTAGTGGTTTAAAGCTTACACTGGCAATCCTATGGCTCACTTGAAATCCTTACTACTCAACAAGTAAAGACAGCAGAGTTCAAAGCCATGCCAGTCCATGAGACTCTTAACTCCAATTAATCACCAGAAAGCCAGAAGTGGAGCTGTGTATCAAGTGGTAGAGTGCCAACCATGAGGAAAAAAATGTAAGATACAGAGCCTAGGCCCCGAGTTCAAGTTCCAGTACAAGCACACCCAAAAAAGTCATGCCCCTCAATGGACGAATAGATCAAGAAAATGTATGTGTGTATGTGTGTATATAATGAAATTCTACTCATCCATCAAAAAGACTGATATTGTACCATTCATAAAAATGGAAAGACCTGGGGCTGGGAAGGTGGCTCAGTGGTAGAGTGCTTGCCTTGCATGCCTGAGGCCCTGGGTTCGATTCCTCAGCACCACATAAGCAAAAAGAAAAAAAAGCCGGGAGTGGTGCTGTGGCTCAAGTGGTAGAGCGCTAGCCTTGAGCTGAAGAGCTGAGGGACAGCGCCCAGGCCCAGAGTTCAGGCCCCACGACCGGACCCCAAAAAAAAAAAAATGGAAAGACCTGGAAAAAATTATATCCAGTGAAGTAAGCCAGACCCAGAGGAACATAGGTTGTGTTTTCCTAGAATATGCCTATGAATTTACAAGTAAACACATGGATGCTAAGCAAGGGGTTACAAATGAATTAACTGAAATGTAATAGACTATGAAGAACACAAATATTATAATTCTTTAAAAAAAAAAACTAAATCAGGTGGCTCAGTGGTAGAGTTCTTGCCTCGCATGGTTTAATTCCTCAGCACCACATAAACAGAAAAAGCTGGAAGTGGCACTGTGGCTCAAGTGGTAGAGCACTAGCCTTGAGCTGAAGAGCTGAGGGACAGCGCCAAAGCCCAGAGTTCAAGCCCCATGAACAACTGAAAAAAAAAAAGACTAACTCAAAGCCCAAGAGTACCAGGAAATGGATACTTGCAAGAAGGGAAGGTGGGCCAAGGATAGAGGGATAGAAGAATGAGGAAGGGGGAAAATGCAGACAAGAATTAATTGTAAATACCACAGAATTGAGAACTATAAGGGAAGGGGTGGGGTGAAGCTATTGAAGTGGTGAACACAGATCAAGTTGCATTGTACACATAAACTGATTTGTAAATGGCAAAAAATTCAATACATAAACTAAAAGTAAGAAGGGAAAGGATAGGCTGGGAGGAGTAGGTGAGCATGTTGAAAATGGTGACATGGATCAAAATGCACAGTATTCATAAATTGCTTCAACGAATGAAAACTCCTTTTTATAACTGAAGATAATAAAAATATTCAAAAAATCAGAAAAACAAAAAGATTCCCTTCAAAATGCTTGTCTTGTGCCTCTCAAGAAGAGATGGGGAAAGGAGCCACCAACAATAAAAATGCCTGTAAGCAAATAGAAAAGGTTCAAGAAAATCTAGAGGCATGTCCTAGAATATGAACTACATCGAGTTAGTCCTCAACATTTAAAACTTGGCATATACTTGGGAAGCATAAATAGGAGAATCATGGTCTTGGTATAAAAATAAGAACCTATTCAAAAAAATCACAAAAGCATAAAGGGCTGAAGGTGTGGCTCAAGTGGGTGAGCACTTGCCTGTCAAGCACCAAGGTCCTGGGTTCAAGCCCCAATATTCAATAACATATACCCCTCCCCCAGTAACAACCCAGATAATGGAATCTTATTCAGCCTTAAGATAAAAAGAGCTATCGAGCTCTGAAAAGAGAGAGAGCAAGTTTAAATGCATGCTGTGAAGTAAAAGCAGCCCATAGGAAAAGTCGACTTATTACACTAGGCAAAACTAGGGAGACAGACAGTAAAAGGACCAGTAGGGAGAGAGTGGGGAGAGAGGGGGGGCATGTGGATCCCTGGGGATTATTCTATGTGCTATTGTCATGGTGGAAATATTCCATTACACATCTGTCAAAACCCATAGAATTCACATCACAATGCATGAGTCCCAATACAAACTATGAGCTGCAGTTAGCAATAAGGTATCAAAATTAGCTGACTAAAAAAAATGGAAAAAATGCATTAACATACTGCTATCTTTGGAAAATGTAATTAACTCAAATAAAGATGATTGTTTCCAGTCATAAAAAAAAAAAAATAAAATAAAACTTGGCATAATTAGCTAAATAGAAGAATTACATCACCTTCAAAAGTATGAAGTTATATTACCATTCAAAATCATAAATTCCTGATATTACAGTTATTCCAGAACCACTCATTGGAACAGGTGAACCTGCTCTAAGGGCTTACAATCTACCACAAGATTGGGGTAATTTTCATAATGGCTTATTATATGAGCTTTGTTTAACCAAAGCTAAATTACTTAAAGCTTTACAAGGTGTTTCTCCAAAGATATATAATTTAATATTCAATAAAAAGCCAGCTCATCTTACGTGTTTACATCCATCATAAAAGAACAAAGAATTGCCAACAGTCTGGTATGGCAGAAGTGACCCAGAATCCTAAGACCTGTGCTTCAGAGCACATTTACTTTTAGCTTTGATAGGCAGGAGGGCATGTGTGTGTGTCCTCGCACACAGGCACACATGCATGCATGCACACACGCACACGCATTGTAGCAGCTTCTACAACAAATAAACTAGTGACAGCAGACTAAATCTATGAATAAAAATTTCCTAAATTCTCTTTGACACCCCTCCCCATGCAAGTTAAATAGTTTTGTGTGCTGTATCTAGCTACCATTACTAGTGTAGTTAACTGTAATCCATTGAGTGACTAAAACATAGTTATATCTTTTTGTTGGGGGGGGGCGGGGGGAGGGTGTCATGGGGCTTGAACTCTGGGCACTGTCCCTCAGCTATTCATCTCAAGGCTAGAGTTCTACCACTTGAGCCACAGTGCCACTTTCAGTTTTCTGGTGGTTAATTGGAAGTAAGAGTCTCACAGACTTTCCTGCCTGAGTTGGCTTTGAACCTCAATCCTCAGATCTCAGCCTCCTGAGTAGTTAGGATTACAGGCATGAGCTACCAGTGTCCTGCTTAAAAACATTTCCCTAAAGAAAAATATACTATGATAATTCTATCAACTCCAAGAATTTTTGTTTGACTTAGGAGTCCGAGATCTGGAAATCACAGTTCATGGCCAGTCTGAGCAGACAAATCAGAGATTCATACCTGAATAACCAGCAAAACACTGGAACTGGAGATGTGGCTTCA